ACATATAGGTACGTGTATATATATATATAAGTACATTGTCTACATTGTACATCAAAAACACAACTGAAATCACTGTATCTGTTACTGGGGAACTGTGAAGATAAATACTTCTTACCTGACCTAGAACCTACATACAGTATTTCTGATCAGATCATAATTAAGGGTGATATCTTGCCATCAGCTTTTAAGAAGAACTCCCCATTATAGGGAGGACTACTAAAAAAAGATGGCACAATAGACCCTAACATTTTTAAAAATGTAAAGGCAAAAGTACACTGTATTTCTGTCCTGATTGTTATAGGAGATCTAGGCTGAGGTTGATACTAATCCTGTATTTTTTTTTCATTGCATCATGAAAGTAAATCCAGTTCACTCATAGCTAAAATGATGACTCTAGTAACACAAAGAGTTGATTTCTTTATTTATTTTCCACTTCTCCATTCTTCGCTTTATTGCTCATAGGACATTACAGACCCAATACAGCAATCTTTATGAGGTTTGCCTGCTTAAGCACTACAGGTTTCAGTATTTGTAATCAAAGGTAAAGACAGTCATTGAGTTTCACTTTAACAAAATATACATCTTATTATTAGTTAGTGGAAATGCTTTCACATGAAAAACCTGAGAAAGTAAAGAAGTATTATTACCCTTGGAGGAAATATATTTCAAAATTAGGCCTAGTTTATCTTTTTATAACCAGTATAATTCATATTCCAGGGGCATTGGATAAATGATACATACAAACATTTCTAAAGTTTAAAGATAGCTGTTCTTCCTGGATATTTTAAGAAGACCCTTTACTTTGGTTTCTTAAAACATTTACAAGAAACTCTCACACAATAATCAAATTAATTTCTATTAAATAAACTTTGAATTCCTAATTTGTAGAGAAACACATTTAAATTAAGAACAGATTTTAATTATTGTATTTTCATGTCAGAAGAAAGACCAGCAATTTCAAGTTTTCAAGGAACTTTGTAAAAATGTGGGAGAAAATTACTGCTTTTGTTTCCTAAAATGAGTCTTTGAAGACTACTTTTATTTATATATCCAAATATTATATATATACACACATATTTAAAAATAGGATAAAATCTTCATAAATCTTACCTCAAAAACCTTATTTATTTTTATTTCTAAAATGTGCCTGCCAGTCTCTGGAGGCATATACACAATTGAACTAACACAAATTAAGAAAGAAAACTCAGTGTCAACTTGTGATATTATCAAACACGGGAAGTTAAACAACTGGTTTTCCTAAATATGTTGATTATATGTTAATAGAGTAAAAGGGAATGAAACTCCTTCCATACACTTCCAATGAAAATTCATTGAGAAATGCAGTTTAACAAGCAGATAAATAATGTCACAAATTGACATGTTGACAGAGAATCTTGTGAGGGAGAAGGATTTTCTGTCTGTGCTGAATAGGAGCAGGAGCTGAGAAGAGATGACCTGCTGTTCCTCTGCTCTTCAGCAAGAATACCTACACTACTGAATATAACATAGCTATTTCACTTTAAGAAACTATTATGCTAAATTTGCTATAAGGGAATAGAAATCTGCATTAAACCCTATTTGAAGAAAAGGAGGAGGAAAGAATTAAGGTAAGGATCTATTCAGATCTGCAGAACTCCTCTTACTATACTGATTCCCAGCGTGATCTACTGACTAGTTCTAACTCCTGTTTTTTCTTTCTACTTTAAGCACTGGGATTAGTTTTCCTCAAAAATAAATAATAAGGTGATAATTTAATAATTATTATTCCTTAACAAAAGGTGCTTAAAATAATCACGAGCCACATTTTAAAACGATGTATTAGCAAGACCAAGATAAATAAATACAAAATCTGGTTAGGAACATTTCAGAGGCACTAACCTTTCTGAAATCTTTGCGAGAATGTTACATGAGAATAGGAGTTAATAATGTTCACAGCAACATCCCACCCACTTGCTTGCAATTTTCTCTTTCAATTTTTACACATTGTTGGTTAGGGACTTTTAATTCCTATGGATTCAGTCATAACAGTAAACGTTTTATTAAATACAGTCTCTGAATGACTATGAAATTAAATCGGGGACCAAATTTTGCTCGAAGGTAAACTCCTTGCGCCCTGTTCAAAGCGAAATGGCATTTGCAAGAGCGAAATTTGGCCCTACAAGTTTGAAAATATTAAAACTGTTGATAGTATTTGCAAAAGAAGCTCGGCGTATTGGCAGGAGACTTTATTCTCAAACCGATTCCACTAATTCCAGGTTGCTGGGAGAAGCCAATTGTCTGAATTCTGCTCTCTGTTCCCCCCGTGTAAACCCACTGACTTCAAAGGCGCGACTCTGCATTTACATCGTGGACTTAGGGGCTGAATACGCGGTGTTAGGACTCTGAGCGGGCAGTGGGCCCCCAGCCCCTGTGTGCTCGCTCGCCCGGGAAGTGTCTGTTACCTGGAGGGTATCTTGCTCGCTGAATGGTGGGGCTGGTTGTCTGGACGGCGGAGGCTGCAGGAGGAGGCGGAATGCGGGCTGGCTGGGACCGGTCTGCGGGGCCGGGTTTGGAGCCGGGACTCAGCGTGGGGCGCTCTTCCGAACCGGACTCTGTCACACAGCAGGGAAAGAGAGAGGTAGGGAGTCACAACGTGGTCTGCACCCGATCGCGGCTGAGACCAGCAGCCAGGCACGGCGACTGCCAGGGACTCGGAGACCCGGGCTGAAATGACGCCGTGGGACTGAAAACAAGCCGCAGAGCCGGGGATGAGAGGCAGGTTCTGAAGGGAAAGCCACACCTCGGCCACCTGCAGCCGGGGATAACAACGCGTTAACGTGGGAACTGGGAGGGGAGAGACAAATGCACAGTCCCAGCCCCAGCTCCCCCCAAACTGGCGAGGGGCTTCTCGTGTTCCTCAGAAAGCAGGTCGCAGCCTTTCCCCTAGAGGTTAGAAAAACTCCAGCCCTAAAGCTGCCATCCCGCCTTCTCTCTCGCTCAGGACACCCGAGGAAGAGTCGGGAGATGCCATGGAAAGGAAGTTTACACACTTTTTTCAATAGCAATGTTATGGCAATATCGGGATCGGATTGGGAGTAAAGCCAAGAAAGCAGGCTCCTTTCGCCCAGCGAAAACGCACAGAGAAGGGCGCTGTGGAAAATGTTTAGCAACTTTCCCTCTAAATTGCTTGGCCCTTTTGTCCCACGCGTGCGGGCATTTTCGGGGGCCAGCAGGAAGTTTAAATCCGGGTGGATCCAGGCCAGAGACAGTTATGTCCAAGGTAGACAGACTCTTGCTGTGAACTGAAAGGATTTCTTACACCCCAAGCTTGCCTTCTCTGTGCAGTCCCCGAAGGGTCGGCGCTCGCTCTCTCCCCAAGGGGGAGGAGGAATCCCGGGGATCAGCCCCCAAACCTAGATCAGCACCAATGCCAGCTTCTGTTCTCCACCTGCCACAGAGCTCTGCCTCGGGCTTGCAGCGCCCCTCGCATACTATATAAAAGCGATGCTTTAATCTAGTCTGGGGTAAGAGACCCCCCCCCCAACGGGGTGGGCATCCAATAACGACACCATTTTAAAGAAGTTCCTTTCCCTCTTCCGACGATATTCAGTACCTGAAGGGATCCACCACGTTTGCTGTCCTCGTACCTTACTGACAACCCCCCTCTCATTCAGCGACTGCAGCCCTAAAACGAACTGCCTTTCTCCTGTCCCACGAAGGCCCCGCCGCCTTTGCGTCCTCTCTTCTCTCCCCCTGGTGCTTTGCGATGGCCCATCTCTTACCTGGTTTGGCTTTTTCACGCTTATTCTTGAAGTCAACATCTGCGTATCAGAGGGGAGGCTTTGCATTTCGGCGGGGATGCACTAACATCACCGCCCGTGTCAGGAGAGACCCCCCCCCCCCCACAGCCCTTGTATCTATTAGCGCGAGTCCTGGCCAGGAACTTTCGCCTACTTTTGCCATTATTCCCTGCGAAGCGCCCGGGGTGTCAAACGCTCATCTGCTCATCTCCTCTTCTCCCGGGGCTTTTCATCCCTCCCTGACCTTGCAAGGCCGCTTCTCCCACTGCACTGAGCGCCCCAGGGCTCCTCTCCTCCCCCAAAGCCGCCAGTTACCTAGAGACACTCTCTGCGCCTTCAAACATGCAGCACTCCTCCGGACTGCAGCCGCTGAGCCAGGAGCTGTAAATTAGGAAGGAATAACTACCCTTGTCAAAGCGCCTTTCTTCCTCCTTACACTTTACATTCAGCCCCCAGTGACACCCTCTCACCCCCTCCGGTAATCTGAGGAGGAAACCGTGAAATGCTCCATTGTGATTGTGGCTCTTCAGCTGAGTTTCGAAACCTTCCTTTACCCCGGGAGGGACCGCGAAGGGGAAGCGTCACTGAATTAAAGTTTCAGCTGCATGTCGAGCAGCGGCTACTTTGTCATTTAATCGCTACGTAACTATAAGACCAACCCACGGAACTCCAGCAAACAGCGCGCAACTTCAGTCAATTTCATCTCTGAGCGGCCCCGGCCGTTCTCTGTGTCTCAGCCTCGCGCTTTCACTGTGTTAGCATTGGGACAAGAAGAGTTTTACATACAACAGTCCCCACGGAGAAAAAAGAAAATGAATTGAAGAAGCGAATAAGGTGAAGCAGGCTCTCTCTCTAATAAGGAGAGAATCCCAGTGATTAATTCCCGAAATTTATTTGAAAGTGACTCTCGCAGGGTCCCCTCCCCTCCCCTCCCCCCCCGCGAAAATAGCATTTTCCGTCCTTCATTTGGGAAAACTTTGGGAGTTAAATCCTTTAGCTCAAGATAGGGTGAAAACCAAACAACACTTCTCAACAATGTAAGTTAAGTATTCAAGTTTAGACGATCCATACCGCCACCGTGACAGCGCAGTATCGCGATACTGCAGACCAATAGCTGTCCACAAAATATCAAACTTGAATGCCTATTATACAATATGTTATTGATTCTTTTAAAGACAGGAGCTGCTTCGCAGTTATTAAGAGAGACATTTATACAGCGAGTAAGGCAGCGAGTGAAATGCAGCTCCTCTGTACTGTAACACACGTGCTGGGTCAGTATAGTATGTAATTACAATTTATGACCTCCAAAGGGAAAAGTGCAAATTTCTTAGGAGCATCTGCCAGGCAGACGTGCCTAGCAAAGATCCCACCTCATTTCATTACAATATGCCACATTCCAACAATTACCTCTTCGGCGAACTCTTCCAGCAGCCTCTGGTTTGTTCTCTCCTAAAGTGAGATCAGATCAACCTGCCCTGCCGTCCCTATTAAACAGTCCTAACTCGCACAAACAAAACCACTTATTTCCCAAGCACAGTTAAAGGAAGAGACAAATTACTGCCATTCTTCACCCGAGCTGCAAACTCCCCACCGCCGGCGGCAGCATCATTTCCATGACAACAACTAGCAGAAATACCTTGGTATCGGCTGAGGCTTCTATTCCACAGACCCAGCTCTCCTGTTTAGGAGCGGAAAAGTCTCAAGTACGGACTAACAGAACAGCAACAAATATATATCCACCCAGGACAGAAAGGAGTAAAAGTTTCAGGTTACAGCCCCCAGCATGTTAGATTAGTAACACTGATGTTCATCACAAACAGTTGCCATTTCAAGAGCAATATAACCGGCAGCACAACTTTTCCCAAGTCCATCCACATTCTCTCTCTCCCATTCATATATACATACTTGATTGCTGTGGCGGTTCCGTCTTTACATCTAGTTTGTAAATGCCTGTTTCCTTAAATGTGCATGTAGGCTCCGTCCAGTGGCAAAATTATAAAAGGCAAACCCAAGAGGTTCTTGGAGGCTGTATATCTGGAGGCTGCGTTATCCCGAGTCATGGGAAAGGATTACAGAAGCTTGAGAGACCAGGAGCTGAGAGCAGCCTGCCGCTGCTGGTGGTGCTCCGGAGTGGAGCGTGTGTGGGAGAGAGTGAGTGATGATCAGCCCGCTGCAGCAATGTGCCTTTGTTTATATGCGCTGGCTCAGTGATAGAGATCTGCCTCGGTCTCTCTCTGGGTCTCTCTCTCTTTCTCTGGGTGTGTGAGGAGAGAGGAAGGAGACTCCTCTGCTGCTGCTCTCTCCCTCTCCCTGAACGTCATTTATGTGAGAGGAGCCCTAGCGGCCTCTCCATAGAGCGACTGGAATGCGAGACGTCAATAGTGACGCCATGGGAGCCTGACGCTACTGCCCCCCCCCCCTCCGCCCCAGAGTCTATGAGTCGCTCCTTGGGTACAGTACAGCGTGTGTGAGAAAGCCCCGGCTCCGCACCTACACTGCCGGCATCTGGCTGCGACGCTCTGCTTAAATTTTCAGAGTGCTGTCAACCTGCGAGGCGTTACTAGGAGGGGAGAGGGAGGATATGGCTGACAGGCTGGGTCTGACTAGAGGAGGCGCGGGAATGTTAGTGGCAGTGTAGATATGTATCAATAATATCTATGGCGAGGATTAATAATTAGAGCAATGCCTTATGCTGTTACTGGACACAGTAGCATTGCTTAACCGTATATATTTCAAGACAAAATAAGAGAGTATTTAATAAGGTAAAGTTTAGCCGGCACTTTGGACATGTAAACCGCGCTTATTAATGATGAGGATGAGGATGTTTAAAATTGTTTAAGAGAAGAAAGTGAAAGGAAACTTTTTAATGTGTAGGAACAAGGCGCAGGTTCTGAAAGATCTCATTATACCCGGCCGGGTCTCTCTGCTCGGGTCACATATGTCGGTCACCAGTCACTTCGGGAAACTTCACCATCCTACATGCAGCTGTAACACAATTTGCTTTCGCTCTAGCTGGGCTCTGAGCTCTCCGTTAGCCATTGTAACAAATGATTGTTGCTCTGTCTGATTCTATGTTTGCTCGCGAGTCTTCGCAATGTGAATGAGGGTATCCTCAGGAGGAGGCTTTACTTTCTTCTCATAATAATTGTCCATATAGTGGATTAATTTGCACCGTTCAAACAAATAAGAGCTGGACATTGCAAACTGCATAGAAAATACAAATTTGAATGAAACAGCTGCGGCTGCTGCTCACACACACATGCAGGGACGAGGAGGGAGTGAAAGAAGAAATGCCGATCGCACTTTCACTTTGTTTAGGCTGGATTCACGATCCTCCTTCTCTGGTGTCTACATTACACAGTTCCTGGGAACTAAATGGGTTTCTGCACTCAGTCCTGTGGAGCTGGCTTTCTTGCTTTTCCTCTCCGGACGGAGGGGTGCAGTTGTGATTTGAAGAAGGAGACATGGGTTGGCTTGCTATTTAGAGGGTTTTTTGGGGGGTGTCTTTGTGAATCCGTGTGTGCATGCGGGTAAGAGTCTCACTGAAACAAGCGGAGCTTTTAATAAGTAACTTGCAATGAGTCCGGGACCAGAAGCCCACCGGGGCACTGCCCAGCGTCCTCGATCTCCTGTGTCAGTGTCACATCCCTTCCCAATCCATCTCACAGAGGGAGCACTTTGGCTCCAAGCGAGCAATCCGGCCGCAGGCGGGTACCCAACACTAGATATTTTTTTCTATTTTCTTATACAGCGAGCCCCTTTCGGAGCCAATCAGAGGGGACACGTCACCATGG